TTTAAGATGAACTTGAGAACTTTCAGAGGGGAATTAAGCAGGAATAGTGACACCCATTAGACATGGCACGTGGAACTTAAACAGTGTACCTAATGAGCGAAATAAACGTTTCAGTTCGACATTCCAAACAACTATAAGAAGGCCGGATATACAACGACCGAAACGTTGTGATAAACATGTATGTAAAGATCAGTCTACAATTTCCGAATAATGTAAATAATATATATATATTTACATTTTAAAAGTTATTGGTTTCCATTTTTTGAAGTCAAGTTTTTCTATCCCCGTTTTGTAAAAAAGAACTCTTAGAGTCATTGACAAAAAAGAATCGAATCAATTATCAAACTTATACTTTGAGAATATTTTGCAACGAATACCAAAATTTGTGCTGCAGTAATCAAGGATAATGGAGGATATTTTGAAGAGCAAAATTTAATTATTGCATGACTTTTTTTTTTACCATAATAAAAAATAGAAATGTCTCACTTTTTTTCTAACCATATATAATAATTTTCTCAGTTAAATTACAAAACAACTACGTTTTGTGTCAATTTAAAAAATTACCAGGAGTTGCTTCAACCTTTCAAACTGTAGTATATATATATATATATATATATATATATATATATATAGTTAAACCTAGAGAGCCAGACAAACCTACCAAGGTTTCACCTAAGAGGATCGTCAGGTAACCTTTTTACCCACCCTTCCCTGACGATCCGCTTAGGTGAAACTGACTGATTGATCTCATACTATGTCTTAAGATATGTTCTGTCATCATTATTCCATTTAATTGACGACTGAGCTTATGTTGTTTTTTGTTGTAAGAACAACGTTTCTTGATGACCTATTCGATACCAAGGATAGAGAACGTCTATGTTAACTAGGCCAAAACAAAAGCAAAAAAAAAAAAATCCCTTGGGAAAGGTATGAATCCTCCTCTTCTTCCCCATCTATGGGTAAATAGCAGGACAAACTGGGTTCTATAGCGTTGGATGGCAACTGTTCTACCGCAGAAAGAAATGGCAATCTACTGGGAGAAAAAAAAAATCTGCCTCGTCAGTCATGTATCTAATGATACATGACAACCTTAGCGTGTATCACGCATAGCACATAACTGATTGAATACTGTTGCCATATCTGGTCTGGTGCTTCTGCTGTGCATCTCAAGATTCTAAATAAAATCTAGAAAAAGAGTCTGCAATACAATCGATCCTGACGAAGCATCTCGTCTCCAGTCACTTTCTCACCGACGTGACGTGGCTACTCGATTGGCAATTAGGTCTCGCTGTTTCACTGTTGAACAAGCTACATGCAAACGTCAGAGACATGGTTTACGTTTTTTTTTTTTGTTGTTTTTTTTTTTGCTACAGTTTTTTGTGATTCTGTAACATCAGTCCGCGTGCTTGGAAGAAGAATGGTTTTCAATGAGACCTGCACGCTTCACTAGCTCCATCGATCTGAGAAAACGGTTGTTTATTTACGACAGTTTGGATATTTCTGAATCAGAGGTTTGTATTATTGTAGCGATATGTTGATTTGTTTGGTTTTATTTAGCGGCATATCAACCTCTATAGGTTATTTAATGCCCAAATCTGAATATTTGGGACACAATTGTATGCCTTCAACTCCAGATAAAATATATTGTTGGTCATTTTGCTATCGTTGGTAAATCAACTCAAAAATTAATTGCTGATCATTTCACTGTAAAAATATGAGTAATTTTAATATAAATATGTATTCTTGTTAATTCTTTTTTAAAAGCAGAAACAATCTCTCTCTCTCTCTCTCTCTCTCTCTATATATATATATATATATATATATATATATATATATATATATATCTATTGAACTCTGACCATTGAAAATGTATTGCTGTGATCTTCACCATAAAATGTATTTTTTATACTTTCAGCGTGTTTGATTTTTGTTTGGAGGTTTCACAATTTGCCTATACCGGGGACCCTAACTGTTGCTACCACCCCGGGTCAGGATGAACCTGGGAACATCAAAAATTAAGGTGTGGTTCCACGCTCCTCAAAACTTCGAATCTCCCGATTAGAAGCATTGCTGCCGGATGCAGTTTATCGTTTACTCAAGGTTAGTAGTGATATATAAATGACTGCCTAATTAGAATAGCTAAGGCATGGACAACATAAGAAACGCAGATGACACAGTACTGATAGCAAACAGGGAAAAGAAATTACAAAGTCTCCTACAGAACGTAGCGACAGAGAGTGTGAAGAAGGGACTAAGCATAAACTACAAGAAAACAGAATGCATGGTCATCAGTAAAAGGGTGAGCCCGTATTGCGATTGGCAGGTCGGGAACACTAGAATCAAGCAGACGCGGAAGTTTAAATATCTGGGAAGCGTTCTGACAGAGGATGTTAAATGCGACACTGAGATCCGTAGACGTATTGGGATGGCCAAGGACGCATTCCAAAAGCTGGGCAGAGTATTGCGAGACAGGAGGATTTCTTTGGTAATGAAGAAAAGAATACTGAATACTGTCCTTCTTTATGGCAGCGAATGTTGGACGATTTCCTCAAAGATGAAGAAGAGACTCGAGGCGACAGAAATGTAGTTCTACAGAAGGATGTTAAGGATATCATGAACAGAGCGTGTGAGCAACGATAAAACAAGGTGGAGACTTACGCTTAAAATCAGGAAGAGGCAGCTGAAGTTTCTGGAACACATATTGAGGAAGGAGGATCTGGAGAATCTGATACTCACGGGTCGAATAGAGGGAAAGAGAGACAAGGGAAAACAACACGTAACCTACCTGGCGGACTTAAGCAAATGGATGACAGAACGTGACTTGGGAGAGGAAGCAGAAGGAAGGAGCTTGCTGATCTCTGCAAGGGATAGAGGGAGGTGGAGAGCCATGATCGCCTACGTCCTGAAAGGACATGGCATATAAAAAGAAAAAAAAGTCGGGGATACTAGAATCAAACAAGAACAAAAAAATTTTAATATTTGGGATGCTTTCTAACAGATATGGTTCTACAGAAGGATGCTAAGGATATCATGGGCCGAGCATGTGAGTAACGATGAGGTCTTGGAGAGGTTACAAACAAGGAGAAGGCTTATGCTTAACATCGGAAAGAGGCAGCTGAAGTTTCTGGGACACATTTTGAGGAAGGAGGGCCTGGAGAATCTGATACTCACGTGTTGAATAGAGGGAAAGAGAGACAAGGGAAAACAACATGTAACCTACCTGGCGGACTTAAGCAAATAGATGACAGAACTGTTACGTGACATCTGTCCTTCTTTACGGCAGCGAATGGTCGACGATTTCTTCAAAAGATGAAGAAGAGACTCGAGGCGACAGAGATGTGGTTCTACAGAAGGATGTTAAGGATATCATGAACAGAGCGAGCAACGATAAAACAAGGTGGAGACTTACGCTTAAAACCAGGAAGAGGCAGCTGAAGTTTCTGGCACACATAATGAGGAAGAAGGGCCTGGAGAATCTGATACTCACGGGTCGAATAGAGGGAAACAGAGACAAGAGAAAGCATCGCGTGACATTCCTGGCGGGCTTGTGCAGGTGGATGACAGAACGTGATCTGGGGGAGGTATCAGACGGAAGGAACTTTTTGAGAGCTGCAAGGGATAGAAGGAGGTGGAGGGCCATGGTCGCCGACTTCCTGAAAGGACATGACACATAAAAAGAAAGAGGGCATGGACAATATAAATGCAGTCAAAGCAGTAAGGGTAGAGTCGCCAGGGGGCTGTTAAAATACGAAGTCACCCTTCATAATAATTACGCATATAATTGCTTTCTTTTCCCAATAATAACTACATTTATTCCTGACCACTGACAATCCCTTTCTTCCTGATATTCAATTCTCAGCATAAAGATGGATACTGTTATGGTCCAAGTTCCTTGTACCACGGTGATGGTCCAAGGTTAGAACCAATGAAAGAATAACACGAACACAGGTATGAAATACAAAGATATATTACAACAGAAATATAATACAAAGAAGTAGAAGTATTAGTAATGACTATCAGATTTGGTTAGAGTGAACTATGTTGTCTCGACAAGTATCACTATTCCAATGTCCTTACAATATGCTCTCAATTATCTCTCCTCGTCTTATAAACATCCTCATACCTCTTGAGAGGTGCAGTATTTATAATGTCAGGAGTAGTCCATTATTATTATGGGTAAGTTCGCATAACAGATACACAACGTAGTTGATCCTGATCTGTCATCCCGTCTGCAGTGGCTATCGCACAGACGTGCTGTGGTTTCCTTTGCCTTTTCTACAAGTACTTTTATGGCAACTGCTCCGATGAGCTACTTTCACTGGTTCCCAAACTATATGAATTTAAGCGTGCTACTAGGTTGGCATCTTGGTCCAACACTTTCACTGTTGAAACGATTAAATGTTGGCATCTCTTCTACTCCAAAAGCTTCTTATCTCTCACCGCCCGGCAGTGGAACTCCTTTCCTATCACTTGTTTATCTGATAGCTATAATCTTCAAATATTCAAATGTAATGTCAATCGACATCTTCTGATGCCTTGACCTTAATCCCTGTCTTTCTCTTTACCCTTTTCCCAGGCACTCCTCATTACACTGACTCCCTGTAACCCCTTGTGTGCTAGAGGAACTCCTGCCTCTCTTGGGGAGATTTGCTTAAAAAAAAACAAAAAAAACTTTAATATATAATTGGTCTTATGCTTTCATGTTTGGAAATATATTATTCATTCATTTTTTACGGATTATCAACCATTTTCATTTAAATCCAGAAAATATTTTTAGATTGTAAAAATACTTTTTGTCTTTTTTTGGTTATTTCTTTTAGATGATAATGGTTTAGCCATATAAATCTTACAAATTAACCCATAGCTGGGGGGAGGGAGAAGAGGTGGATTCATACCTTACCAAATTACATTTGCGCGTAAGTCAGTACAGCGGAATTGGAAATCGGCTCCCCGATTAACAAATCTGTGCCGTTATACATTATGCCAACCGCACGTCCAAGCTTACAGCACTTGGTATTCTGAAGCAGTCACCCATCTATGTAGCGAACAGATTCGACGTTGCTTAACTTCGGTGATCGTACGGGAGCCGGTGTGTCAAAGTGATATGGTCGCAAGCCGTAAAAGAATAAGAAATAGTCATTTTATTTATTTGTCGTTACTTAATACACCATTTTTATTTTTACCTGGCGCAATAGATTCTACCCATGAATTATGGACTCGGATATATACGTGTGTGTATTGTGTTGTCAATATTTCTTCTGGGAGCATGCTAGCAATCTGGTCCCACTTAAGAATTTCATAAACGCCTCTTAGAAACGTCTACCCTTCGGCGGTGGAATCACTAATGCGCAAATCATCGATGCCAAACGCATCGGATTGTCTTTTACAACAGAACAGATCATTCGCCATTTGCATTGTGGTAAGATCCGCAAAGAAAAATGTGCCTCCAAGGTATTAACCCATCCCTAGTACCAGCTTGGGGCTGCCTGGGCACACGGGCGTTTCTCCACAGGGCCTTCTAGCGTAACAACGGCGCACACAAAGCAGAGACGCACATCGTCGAAACTGCTAGCGCGGCTAACGATTGCTTCAGGGCGGAAAACAAGCAAATCGTTGTAAACATTGAATCCACGGTGCAGATTATCTGCGAGCAGTTTTATGCATTAGACGATCAATTAGCAAACAGTATTAGATTAAGTGATTCACACCAGTTTATTTACGTATTTATTTATTGGTCGAGGTAGGTGCTGTGGAAAATGGGGTTCAGGGACACCGATCTTTACCGCAACACGACCAGAGACCCTCTGGGTTTAAGTAAAATGACGAATAATGATATCCCAGACATCGGTAAACGGAAAACGATCCAAACAAAATCGTTTTTTTTTCTTTCTTCCCGTAATGTTGCAGCTTGAGGAGAAATCCGACTCTTTTTTCTTATTATTCTATATACCGTGTCTTTTCAATACGTTAGCGATCCTAGCCCTCCACAATTTCCCCACCTTTGTAGGTCTTAATAAATTTTGTTCTGTCGATCTCTCTCCTAAACTCTGTTCTGTCAACGATTTGCACAAGCTTGCTAAGTAGACTGTTTTTCCCCTGCACGTCTTGCTTTCAGTATATCGTGTGTCAAATTTTCTAAGCCTTTTTTCCTCATTATGCGTCCTAGAAATTTAAGCCTAGAAATCTAAGTGTCCTTTTTGTTTCCTTTCTCTCTAAAACTTCGTCACTGCTTCCATCGTATTCTCAGCATCCTTCTGTAGAACCACATTTCTGTGGTTTCATCTGTGAGATGATAGTTCAACATCCACTGCCAAATACATAACCGGTCAGAATTTTTTTTTGTTTCTCGATGCTTTCCTTAATTTCTGGAAGGCGTCTTTCGCTTTTTTTCCCAATACTACTTCGGATTTCGGTGCCACATTTCCCGTAATGCCTTAAATCACTTCCCAGACATTTCAATTTTTGTACTTGCTTAATTTTGATATCGTACTTCCTATCTGTCACTTTCTGATCCTCGTTACGACTTTCCTTTCTGTTTCCATTTCCCTGAAGACTTCCTCGTCATTTACATGCATCGACCATGGTATCCTCAGTATCCTTTGTTTCTCTTCATTTTTTGAAACTGTCCAGCATCTGCTGTCATATACGAAAATTGGCATATCAAAAGAGATGTCATTGTTTCCATTTTCTCAAAAATTTCACGACAGTTGGTAAGTGATTGAAGCCGAGATATCAGCTCAGGACAGATAATATTACCCATCATTCCCAATATATATATATGCTTCGGGCAATACTTTTAAAATGGCCACTTTAACGCTTTATTTCAAAAAACACAATTGAATGCCACATAATTATCTTTCAAAAATAAATAAATAAAAAAATAACAGTTATTTTTTAAACTTTAAAGTGTCCATGTTATTTTAGTTTTACTTATATTTTAATGTATCGCCCGAAGACACCGTCAGGTCGAAACCGCGATTGCGTATTTTAAATGACTTCCTGATTTTTAAACTTAAAAGCTCTACAATGTTATTGTTATCTTTACGTATATTTTTTCTCACGTGTATTGAGCACTTTTTAATACTACTGTTCCCTGGTTTCATTCAACTCTGATCATTAACCTTTATATATATATAAATATATTTCTAAATATTTCTTCTCCTGATGATGGCCATTTTTGGCCGAAACTAGTCGAGGAATCTAAATGAAATAATAATAAAAAAAAAAAAACGAAAGAATATTAATCTACAACCCAGTGTGTCTGAAGATTTTAATTTTTTAATATGTTTTTATTGTTCATATATATATATATATATATATATATATTTAACAATATGTTTTATTGTTCAATATATATATATATATATATATATATATATATATTTGCTATTTGGTTTATGGGATTAAAGTTTAATATAGATATAGAGCGTATATTAATATAAAATATATTCGTTGACATACAAAAGAAGTCAACACTTAGAGGCGACAGTCATAACAGACAGACAGAGCACCAAACTAGACATATGGTAGCAATATTAATAGAGAATGAATGTGAACTGAAACGGTATGAGTGTATCCATTTAGGATGTGGGCGATTATGGCCCTCCACAATTTCAGGTCCTTTGTAGCATTTAGCAGCGTTTTTCTTTTTGCTATCTTTCCTAACCCCTGTTCTGCCAACCATTTATACAAACCTTTTATGAAGGTTATTCTCTGCTTTCCTCTTTCCGTTATTTTTTGTTAAAATCCCATATCTACTCAGTTTCGTATCCGACACGTAAACAAAGCGATTTATAAAGAATTAATCGATTTAGTTTTTAATCCCATAATGTTTAGTACTTCAAACGTTATCATTTTGGATACTCGAGCAAGTACTATTAGTGTGAGTGTTACTCGAAGGCGTCTGACACCAGCATTGTTCAACGGCGTTACTATAGTTGTATCTGCGATTACAAAGTCTCTACTACAACGAGCATTTCGAAAGTGGCAACGAGTGTTCGTTGACATTACAAAAGTGTCAACGAGTGTTCGTTGACATCACAAAAAGACAATCGAAAATTCTTTGTTAAGGAATTTAAAAATAATTTCGGACGATTTTCCCGGTTTTCCGTACATAATTTAATGTATATTTTCCAGTTTAGAATGTCTGTAACCAAATCTGAAATAATCCTCCAGAGATCATTCCCTATCTGCCCTCCATTAGAATGTCTGACGCTCAACTTCTCGAGATAGAGCAACTCTCTGCGGCTGCTCGGTCACACAAAACTATTGACTGGTACAAGATGACCTGAGATGGAACAAATACATTGAGTCAATTGCTTCGTCCACCTCAAGGAAAGTTGGCTCCCTGTGCCGTCTACAAACATGCGACATAACCCACAAATTATCCAGGACATTTTTTTTATTACTCCCGGAATCGATCCTCCAGATCTACAAATCAACCATTCGCCCTTGCATGGAGTATTCCTGCCATATATAGTCTAGAGCCCCTTCTGTTTGCCTCGGGGTTCTTGATAGGCTCCAGAGGCGGATATGCAAAGTATAATTGGCCCTGCTCTGGCATCTCGTCTACAGTCGCTCTCTCTCCAGACGCGCCGTCGCCTCTCTTCTTTTCTTCATTTCTCGTCTGTTTTTTTGTCTTCTCTTTTTTACAAATACTTTCATCATTCTGGTCAGGCAATTGCTCCGAGGAGCTGCATTCTGCCTGGTTCCCAGACTTTATGAATTCAAGAGATGCCCTCCACGAGGCTGGCATCCCCCGATCTCCACCCTTTCACTGTCGAAAAACTATTAAAATGTAGCCGTCTCTTCTACTCCAATAGCTTCACAGACTCTCTTCTACCCTCTCGCCTGTGGAACTCCTTCCCTATTCCAGTTTCCTGAGAGCTATAATCTCCAACTATTCAAATGTAATGTCAATCGACATCTCCAGTTGCCTTGATCTATCCCCTATCCTTCTCCTCATCCTTTCCTCTATCACTCCTATCTGATCTTGCTCCAAATCTTCTGTAACCCTTTGCGTCCTAGTGGCTTCTCGCCAAATATGTGTCGGTTTTAAATAACCTAGAAAAAGTTGATCAATCATAAAAAAAACAATCACTCAATCCATAAAGTCCTACTTCTGACATCCTTCTTTCTGTTCTTTTTCACCTTTCTTTTTTTCCCTTCCTCCTATTTTCTTTCTATCTTTACACTTCCTTAAACCTTATGCCTTCTTTTCTTTTCTGCTCTTCCACCATCTTCTTTTTCTTCACTTGCTTCTACTTCTGACATCCATCTTGTTTCCCTCCCACTTCCTCTTCTGCTTTTACTCTTCCTCATACTTTAGCCTTCTTTTCTATTCTGTTCCTCCACCTACTTCATTTTCTTCCCTTCCTCCTACTTTTTGTGTTCTTCCCCCTTCCTATTTTTTTACTTCTCTTCCTCTTACTCCTGAATTCTTTCTCTTTGCGCTCCTCCGACTTCCACTTTTTCTTCCCTTCCTCCTACTTTTTGTGTTCTTCCCCCTTCCTATTTTTTTTCTTCTCTTCCTCTTACTCCTGAATTCTTTCTCTTTTCCATTTTGCGCTCCCCTCTTACTCCTGACTTCCACTTTTTTTTCTTCCCTTCCTCCTACTTTTTGTGTTCTTCCCCTTCCTATTTTTTTTTTTGCGCTCCCCCGACTTCTCTTCCTCTTTTTTTGTGTTCTCCTGAATTCTTTCTCTTTGCGCTCCTCCGACTTCCACTTTTTCTTCCCTTCCTCCTACTTCAGTTCTTTTTCTACGCTTTCTTCTACCTCTGACCACATTGTGTTCCATCATCTTCCCCCTCTTTCCCTTCTTGTTCTCCTCTTCATCTTACTCCACTGATATATCTCTTCTTTTTCTCTCACTTGTCTACGATCTTCTACTTTCAACCCTTTCCCTTTTTCCTTCACTTTCTTCTTCTCTAGCTCTCCTTCCGTTTCTAATTCTCTGCCTTCCTATTCTTCTTTTCCTCCTCTCACTCCCCTTCCTTTTTTCTACCCTTCTACACTCTTTGTCTTCTTCTTCCTTTGATTTTTTTCTTCTGGTCCTCAATCTCCTTAGGCTTACAGCCATATCACGTTGAAATACCGGTTCCCGTACGATCACCGAAGTTAAGCAACGTCGAACCTGGTCAATACCAAGATTATCGCTTTGGAATACCAAGTGGTGTAAGCTTGGATGTGCGGGTGATGCAATGAATAATGTATCGGAATTGATAATCGGAAAGCCAGGGTTGCAATTCTAGTTGAGTTTGTTATATTCACTTAAGCGTAGATATTCTTGGGAAAGATATGAATCCATCTTTTCTCCACCCATCTATGGATTAATTAGTAGGACTTGTATCTCTATATCATTATTATCCCCCAAAAATTATTTTACAATCTGAAAATATTTTCTGGCTTTAAATAACCTTCAAACGGTTGATAAACCGTAGAAAACGAATCAAGCAAATAATTCAAGTCTTTCTTTCTTTCTTTCTTTCTTTCTTTCTTTCTTTCTTCTTTTCTTCGCTTTTCTTTTCTTCGCCCTTCTTTCCCTCTCCTCCTCCCACATTGTTTTTCTTTACGTTCTCATCTATGCTCTCCCATCCTTTATTCTTCTCCCTTACTCTTCTTTTTCTTCTTGTCTTTTTCTTTCTGCTCTCCTTCTACGGTTCGTTGAATTCCCTCTTTTTCTCTTCTTCTTTTATATGACAAAGCGCTGGGACAAATCGATTCATGCCTTTGCTAAGGGCAAATGAGAGAAGTATAGCCACAGTCAGAATTCGTACTCGATTTGCCGATACACCTTTTCCGTGATCTTAATTGCCACACCTATCCCTTCCCCTATAAAACGGTGCACTGATACATAAACATCAATATACAAGAAAAACCGACCCCCCCAAAAAAAAAATCACCGCCACAAAGAAAAAAAAAACTATTAAATCTAATGCAAAAAATAATTTAATTGTTACTTACTTAATTTACCCTCTCCTTACCCACCTACACACACGCACACACATACACATACACACGAACGCACACGGGCAACAACAACGACAACAACTCTCCTTGCCAAGTGATTTCTAGATTTTGAAATCTGATTTTAACCGCCAGATTTCCTATGGGAGTCGGCGGTGAGTGTTTTTGATAAACAGTGCGTTGATAACAGCACCTGCCTCTCTTCCGGTTTTATAAAGAGCGGGAAAAAAAGAGGCAGTCATGGCTGCCGCAGTGACGAAAGCAATAGAGCGTTCCTCAGTCTCCTTTCCCCTCTATTGCTTCCTTTCTCTCCATTCCTCACTCTTTCTATTGATCTGTCTCTCATTACTGTTTATTTTTATCTAACTTTCTGATGTTCTGTCTCTTTTTAACGATCTCTCTCTCTCTCTCTCTCTTTACCCTCTCTTCTTGATATTACATTCTATCGTTTTTTTCCTCTCTATTGCCACCTGGCCTATTATACCCTGTCTTTCTTTTTATAGACTCTCTTTATCTCTCCATTGTTCTTTTTTTCTCTCTATTGTTCTGTCTTTCTCTTGGTCTCTCTTTCTATCTATTGCTCTCTCTCTCTCTGTCGCATTATATTTATTACTCTATGTCCATTTTCTGCTATTACTCTCTCTATATATATTTTTTCTCACTCAAAAGCTATAATTCTCTCTTTCTATTGTTCTCCTTTTGTTTTTATCGCGCTCTCTCTTCCTTTCTTCTCGTTTTCTTTTCCCTAATTACTTCGTCTTCTCTATTATCCTCACTTACTTTTGTTATCATTCTCTCTCTCTCTCTCTCTCTCTCTCTTTCTATCTCATCTCTTTCTCTTTCGCTCTATTGCCTGGTCTTTCTTTCTATCGTCGTCTTAATTTCACTCTGTTGTTAATTCTCTCTCTTTATTACTCTCTTTCTGTAGCTCTATTGCTTTCTATTTCTCTTTCTTTATTTCTCTTTCTCTCTCTCCCTCCCTCTCTGTATTCCTGTCTCACTTTTCCAACATGGTTCTTTCTCTCTTTCTCTCCTTTTTCTTTAATCTCCCCACTCTCTCTCTCTATTGCTTGCTTTACGAGACTCTTTATTTCTCTCTCTTGCTATCACTATCCATCTCTTTCTCTCTCTCTAGTGTTATCTCATTTCCTGCATTATTATCTCTCTCTATCTCTCTATTGCTTTTTTCTTTCTCTCTAATTTCCTCACTATCTATTGCTCTATATTTCTCGCTCTTTCTCGCTTTCTTTATTTCTTTCTTTCTTTTCTTTCTTGCTTTCTTTCTTTCTTTCTCCTCCTTTCTTTTTCGTTTTTCTTCTCTTCTCAGTTTTATCTCTTTCTTATATTTTCTGATTCTCCTCTTTATTTCTCTTACCTCTTCCTTTTCACGCTTTCATTTTCTTTCTTTCTTTCTTTTCTTTCTTTCTTTCTTGCTTTCTTTCTTTCTTTCTCCTCCTTTCTTTTTCGTTTTTCTTCTCTTCTCAGTTTTATCTCTTTCTTATATTTTCTGATTCTCCTCTTTATTTCTCTTACCTCTTCCTTTTCACGCTTTCATTTTCTTTCTTTCTTTCTTTCTTTCTTTCTTTATTGCCCTCTCTTTTTCTACTTCCCTCTCCTTCTTTCTATTGCTATCTCTATTTATTGTTCTCTTTCTTTTTCTCTCTAATATTTTCTCTCCCTATTTCTCTCTATTGCTCTCTCTGTATCTTTATAGGGTCAACTTTAAAAAAATTTGTTTACAATTAAACAGTTCTTGTTCGTCTAAATGAGAACCTTCGGCCATATTTGCCACCCTATCTACGTTCTTTCTATCTTAATTATCTGATTGTGACCATTATAATTTTATTGATTTCTTTGATTCAATCAACAATTTCTCGTAGGTTGTATCCACGAGGTGATCTTGCTTAAAAGTATTTTCCCAGTATTTACATACCGACTAATATCCACATCATTGATGTTATTATCCCAAGGCGTAATCAGCAGATAACAACAACAAAGATGAGGATATTCGTCTAAATGCAAAAGATGATGAATCTTTATCACTAAAATTTAGACAAGACGTGATCAGTATATAATAACAAAAAGATGAAGATATTCGTCCAAATACAAATAATGATAACTTTTTATCACTGAAATTCAGACAAGACGTGATCAGCAGATAATAACAACAAAGATGAGGATATTCGTCCAAATGCAAATAATGATGACTTTTACCACTAAAATGCAAACCAGAGGTGATCAGCTGATAATAACAACAAAGATGAAGATATTCGTTCAAATGCAAATAATGATAACTTTTTATCACTGAAATTCAGACAAGACGTGATCAGCAGATAATAACAACAAAGATGAGGATATTCGTCCAAATCTAAATAAAGATAATAATGATAAAGATCATCAACAGATACGATTATTGATCTCTCTCTCTCTCTCTCTTTTCTCTTTATTCCTCTCCCCATTTCTTTCTAGTGTTGTTTCTCTTTTTCTCTATATTACTCTATCTCTCTCCTTCTCGATATTGCATTCGTTCTCTCTATTGATTTCGCTCATTAAAACAATGAATCTTTATTCCATGAGACAGGAAATTAGAAAATATTCCTGTTGCAAAGGAGCAGGTGTTGAATCTATTCTCAGTATCATGTCTTTATCACATAGTTTATTATGAAAGAGCAACCAGAAAAAAGCCACTTTCAAGCCAATTAGCACGGGAAGCAGTGGTAAACAAACAACTATCGGGTCCCCATTTCATTGCATTTCAAACACTGTAAGGTATGAAAATTGTTCGAAGAAGAGTTCCATTGGCGGATTATATTTGACATATCAACCCCTGTTGGGTTATTTACTGTCGAAATATACTTGAGTCTAAATAGTCGTATTTATACTTGAGTCAGTCGGAAAACAGAGGGATTTATACTTGAGCCTATAGGTAAACATTGGCCGTGCTTATATGTGAGTCTATATGTCAATATTAGTAGGAATTATACTTGAGACTATGGGTAAACATTAAACAAGTTAATACTTGAGTCTATAAACAAATATCAGTGGGCTGTATACTTGAGCCTATTGGTAACAATTAATCGTGTTTACTTGAGTCTTTAGTTAAACATTGTTCGTGTTTACTTGAGTTTATGGGTAAATATTGGTGGGATTTATACTTCATCCTATCGGTAAACAGTGGTCGTTTTTTTTTTTTTTTGAGTTTATAGGTAAACATTTTTGTTATTATACTTGAGACTAGAGGTAAACTTTGATCGTAGTTAAACTTTGTCCACAGGCATATATTAGTGGGATTTGTACTTGAGTCTATAGGTATACACTGGTCGTGTTTATACTTGAGTCTATAGATAAACCTTATTGCCTTTATAGTCGAGTGTATAAGCTATAATTGATCGTGTGTACAATTATGTTTATAGTCGAATATTGTTTGAGCATATACTTAAGTCTACAAGTAAACATTGGTCGTGTTTGTGCTTGAGTTTGCAGTTAAATATAGGTAATATATATATATTACTAATGTTTATACTTGAGTAGGCCAATGCTTTGTACTTATTCTTGATTTTATAAGTAAATACTGGTCGTGTCCATTCTTGAATCTGTAAAAAATCATTAGCCTTGATTATACTTGAGACCATACGTAAGTATTGATTGAGTTTATACTTGAGCCTATAATTAAATATTGGCCTCGTCTTTACTTGAATCTGTAGGTAATCATATGGCAAATTAGTACTTGAGTCTATGGGAAAACATTGGTCATTTATATCGTTGATACCATAAGTCAACGTTGGTTGTGTTTGTACTTCAGTCAATAAATAAGCATTTTTGCATTTAAAGTTGGGTTTGAGCAAATATTGATTGTGTTTATTATTAAATCCATAGACAAATGTTGTTTGTGTTTATATTTGGGCATGTAAGTCAACATTGATCGCGTTTCTATTTGAGTCAATAGGTAAAACGTTGTTGCGTTTATAGTTGTACATATAGAAAAAAAATGTGTTTACACTTGAGACTATAAGTAAACATATTTATACTTGAGCCTATAGGTAAGCATTGGTTATATTCGTACTTGAGTATATAGATTACCATTGGTTGCCCGAGTCATGTGAGTGTCCACTTTTGATCGACTCTTTATTCCTCTGTGGGGATTACTGTTGAGGAGACAGTTAGATTGGTGTACAGTGAGGAATTTGGAAACTAGTCTTTAAAAGCTTTTGGAGTTTAAGAGAAATATTATTTCATAAAATAAGTATCCAGTGAGGATCGAACTCACTTTCTATTGGGTTGGTAGCACGTGTTAAGTTCCCAGTTATGGGCAAATAGCAAACCTCCAAACAAAAATCAACAGTACATTTTTATAATAAAATAACCAACTGTACTTTTTATAGTAAAATGACAATAAATGCAACACGTAAAATATATGTAAAATATATTATTTTATAGTAAAATTACCAACAATACATTTTATGATCTATAAACTATATATCTATAAAAATATACCTTTACCCTGAAAGTATAGAATTATGTACAAAATATCTGTAATTGAAAGGTTTAAATTAGGTACAAAATATTTAGATTTTGACATTAAATAACCCATAGAGGTGCTGATATGCCGCCAAACTAAATCAACCAACCAGACGATCAACATGAAAGAACTTTCATGATATCAATCCATATGATATCCTACAATTTCTTAAAGAAATCAAACTGTATTACAAAATATAACTTCAGCAACACTACAACATATAACACACATATTACCGCCTGTAGTAATTAGATTCACAATATATATATATATATATATATATATATATATGCACAAAGCAGAGTATCATCTACCATGCATTCAATTGTGAAAGCAGAATAACATATATATTTTATTAATTCAAAGCTCCCAAGAAAATAAAATTTCGGCATTAAATGATCCATAAGGAGTTGATATGCCGTTAATCAAATCAAACCTAATCAAATCATATATATATATATATATATATATATATATATATATATATATATATATATATGTGTGTGTGTGTGTGTATAAACGTATACAATTGCGTTCACAATATATTTATTTGAAGCCATAAAATTGTGTTCAAAATATTTAGATTTCGACATTAAATTACCCATAGAGGTTGATATTGCAGCTAAACAAAATTAACCAATCAACCAACTCTTTCTATGAATAACTTTCTAACCAATACAGGAGGCTCAGTAGAGTAATGGATAGCGGCTTGGATTGAGGAATCGGAGAGCCGAGTTCGAATTCCAGTCGAATCCATTACATTCACTTACGTGCTAACACCCTTGGGAAAGGTGTGAATCCTCTTCTTCTCCCTCCAGCTATGGGTAAATAGCAGGACAGACTGGGTTCTATAGCCTTGGATGGCAACTAGTCTAGGAGAAGGAAAACTCTGAATTCAAACCTGCTCTTAGAAAAAATCCAAGGAGCGTCTGCATCGGCAACCGGCGGCTTCTGGTCGTTCCTGTCTCTGCGGCAAGCAAGAACGTTATCCGAGTAGGCCTGGGTACCCTACTTCTGTAATTTATCCCAAGAATCTTCTTCTCACATGACTACGAATGAGTCAACAGGAAGAAGCCGGCTCAATCCGCCCAGCCGCATCGATACAATACAGTACCGCATCGATACAATACAGTACCGAAAGCAACATTTAGTCATTTCTCCTTTTTCACGCAGTACAAGGTCCGAAAGGCACTCAAGATAGAGAGTTAATGAATGAGGTTGTTGTAAAAGAATGGCTAGCAGGAAGGGCATTACAGAGGAATCGGGCGGCAAACCTTCTTCACGGGTCGGAAACATCATGCCTAAGCAGGTCCCAGGCACCGAGAATGGCTCGCCCGAACATCAGTACAAAAGGACCCACTCGAAGTTATAAAAGCTGCTCGAAGACAAGATGACATCTTCTTCTACTCCTATTATCTACAGTCGGGTATACTGATCTGGAGAGTAAGGGTGACAATCTCATTAAGTTTAGAATAGTCGACACCCGTTCGCATCCGAATATCGGGAGCGTCATTCTTAGTCCATGGCTCATCCTCACTGCTGTGAAGCCTCAGCTTTCGTCTGAAGAGTCGTGAGCAGGAGTCGCAGAGAAGTGTAGGTGATGGACGTGACTGGGCAAGTTGGGCCCTCCTGACAGCACGTCACAAAACCTCTTCATGTTGACGGTTGGACTAGAAAATCTTGGTATAACCACCGCCCCCCCACACACACACCGCATGGTCCTATGCCAGGAAGGCCGTTTTGGGGCAACAGTTTTCCCAGATCTCAGGGCCGATGCTTACTTGTATCAGGAATGTCTTCAACTGATCCTAGAAGCATCGTTTTGGGCCTGCGCGTTGGCCGAGTCGAGTCCTCTAGGGAACACGTCACAAATCCGCTTCATGTTGCCGGTTGGACACAAAAGTCTCGGTCCCTCACCCACCCTGGATGGTCCTACAGCAGGAAGGCCGATTTGCAGCACCGGTTTTCCCAGGTCCCAGGGTCGATATTCGGACCGTGTCAGGGATGTCCGTCAGCTGATCTTTGAAGCGTTGTTTCGGGCCTCCGCGTAGCCCCTTGTTGTTGACAAGTTCTCCAAACGGGATGATACGCGGGATTCGAGTGGGACACATGGTGAACACGTGACCTGCACATCGGAAGCGATGTTG